TATTCTAAGCCAGTTTTATAAAAACAAATTAAATACAAGTTGTTGTTTTCTTTTACCCATATTCTTCTTAATTTGTCAACTTTTAAAAAGTTTAAAATGAAAAATTTGAAAACCAGCGAGTTATTGGGTAAAATAACAGGCTTAAAAACTGTTACAAAAACAAGTTAACTACAGATGTTGTTGTTTTATATAAATTTGAAAACCAGCGAGTCATTGGGAAAATAACAGGCTTAAAAACTGTTACAAAAACAAATTAACCACAGATGTTGTTTTATATAAATTTGTTTGTTTGTTTGTTTTGAATTTTGCGCAAAGCGACACGAGGGCTATCTGCGCTAGCCGTCCCTAATTTGGCAGTGTAAGACTAGAGGGAAGGCAGCTAGTCATCACCACCCACCGCAAACTCTTGGGCTACCCTTTTACCAACGAATAGTGGGATTGGCCGTCACATTATAACGCCCCCACGGCTGAAAGGGCGAGCATATTTGGTGGGACGGGGATTCGAATCCACAGATTGCGAGTCGAGCGCCCCTAACCACCTGACCATGTCGGGCTCTTGTTTGTTTTAACTAAGCGCAAAGCTGCACAATGGAATATCTGTGCTCTGCCCATCACGGGTATCGAAACCCGGATTCTAGCGTTGTAAGTCCGCAGACATACCGCTGTGCCACTGAGGGGGGGGGGCAAATGTTTTACTTAAATAAACATTTATGAAATTTGTTATAAGCATTGATTTGTTTTGGATTTACGCTAAACATCTTGGTTTTAGTTTTTATACAATTTTCCATCTTAGTTACATAGTGTTGATCTTATTGTCTATACATAACTGATGCACTTCCTAGCATTAATTAAACTTATTTTATTTACTTACATATATATATATATATGTTTATTTATAAAAAGTTGTGATTATCCCTTATTTCTAGGGTGATTCTGGGGGCCCTTTGATGATCGAGGACAAAGATGGCCGATGGACGGCGATTGGAATCGTGTCGTTTGGCCATCGCTGTGCAATCCCGGGCTATCCAGGAGTTTACACGCGGATTGCTCATTATTTGAAATGGCTAGAATACACTGTTTATCAGTCTTAACTTCACATCCATTTGGTAAAACGTCTTGGAATTTCTACCTATTAAGGTTAAATTTGAAGAACATATATAACATTCATGATGATTTCATTGGCTATCTATAACATTCATGATGACTTCATTGGCTATCTGTCTACAGCTGTATTGTAATTAATGAACCAATGATACAAGGCATGGATTCATGATGATTTCATTGGCTATCTGTCTACAGCTGTATTGTAATCAATGAACCAATGACACAAGGCATGGATCATAATAGAAGTTGTAGTTAATGAGTAGATTAAATGTTAATCAAGGGTAGACGTAAAGGTTTGTTTGTTTTGAATTTCGCGCAAAGCTACACGAGGGCTATCTGCGCTAGCCGTCCCTAATTTAGCAGTGTAAGACTAGAGGGAAGGCAGCTCGACTCGCAATCTGTGGGTCGCGGGTTCGAATCCCCGTCACACCAAACATGCTCGCCCTTTCAGCCGTGGGGACGTTATAATGTGACGGTCAATCCCACTATTCGTTGGTAAAAGAGTAGCCCAAGAGTTGGCGGTAGGTGATGATGACTAGCTGCCTTCCCTCTAGTCTTACACTGCTAAATTATGGACGGCTAGCGCAGATAGCCCTCGTGTAGCTTTGCGCGAAATTAAAAAAAAAACAAACAAACAAACAAACGTTTCCATAAGGTGGTCTTATACGATCTTCCTTTTTATAAAACTATAACAATTATCTGACGATGTTAAATCACAGAGTAACATTAACCAAAGTCAATGTTTGCTCATAAAATGCGTACGCGAACAGACGGTTTTACGTTTCATTTTCGTTAACGAGCTTTTATGTTTCAAAACACATTTTTATATCCATTAATACAAACCCCAAGTGAAAAACAAAAAATCAACGGTATCGTACGTTACGAGAAATAACTCAGGCCGATCATATTTAACCTTTACTCGGTGGTAAGTTTTGAGGGGTTTAATGGTTAAATTCGGGGTTCGATCCCTGCGTTAATCGCAGCCCAGAAATTGCCCACTGTGCAGCTTTCCCGTTAATTAACCATACCACGAACTGGCCACATCTTCCATTATTTCATATTATATTGTTTAAATGCACGAACTGGCCACATCTTCCATGATTTCATATTATATTGTTTAAATGCACGAACTACCCACATCTTCTATTATTTCATATTATATTGTTTAAATGCACGAACTGGCCACATCTTCCATGATTTCATATTATATTGTTTAAATGCACGAACTACCCACATCTTCCATGATTTCATATTATATTGTTTAAATGCACGAACTGGCTACATGTAGAGTAAAACATTCTATTATTTTGATACAGAAGAAGAAAGGTCCACCTTTCGAAAGCGCTTGGGTTAGTGGGTTTTATCATCTTGTGTCAAGACTTCTTGAACCTGCGTGTTTTTCTGACATCATGAATGAACCTTGTATTATTTCATATTATATTGTTTAAATACACGAACTGGCTACATATAAAGTTTAAATTCCTTGTTACGGTTACGACAATTAACTCAGAATTTTTATCATTTATAACTTTCGCGGATTTGTTTTTTTTTTTTATTTTTGTTTAAAATCATTCAAACGTATACCGCTAGAGCACACGTTCGATTCCAAGCAAGCGGGGTTTCACTGTCATGGCGTTTACCTTTGAACATGGTCGTGGCTAGTAGCCAAATCAAGCGAGTTGATGTAGCCACAGAAGCTAATTCCTGCACAGTCTTTTAATATATGTTTGGACGTTGCAAAATCATTTCAAAATGTTAAATATTTAGAATTAATTTACTTATTTTGACCCACATGACTTTATTTGAAGTAATTGTGTTCTCTCTCTCTCAATGTATGTTTGGTTTTATACTAAAACTTTTAAAATAAAAATGAATAATTTTCAAGTGACTCACTGAATTCTGACCACTGTGTTATTTTATTGTATCTGAAACCAAAACTAAGTATACGTTGAACAACTACAGTGAAGGTCTAACTTGTTTTATTTTAAGACTCAAGAAAACTTCCTAATTCTTCCTAAATAAAGAAATGTAAGAAATGTAAAAAAAACAAAAACGAAAAAAAAAAAAGCTCATCCATTACGGAAACTATAGTTAAAATTTGATGAGGGTCAAGAGAAGCTCCATCTGTGGAACAAAAACAAAACAAAAAAGTGAAATGCCTGACGTTTCTTCTAAATAAAATGATTTAAACAGCTCTTACAGATGTGAATCATATGACTCGGCCTAATGTAATTATTGTGAACAGGATTTTACAACATTTCTTGCCAAAAAAACAACAACAAAAAACAACATTTGCCTTAATTTAAAGATCAAACTGCGATATCCGTTTATACAGCAGTATATCTTTTTCCACGGAAAGTGAGGATTTACCCAAGACCCACGACCTTGAACAAGAAGCTCTGCTTGTATGTTTTAAAACTTGTTTTAAAGTGACATTTATTCGGCGAACGACTTCACAGTCATCCTACAAATACCGACAGTTGTAACTAAAACTTTACAGATAACGTTTTTAGGCTTGCCGATGGTGAAACTCAGTAGAGTAATTAGGGTTACTAAAACTTTACAGATAACGTTTTAAGGCTTGCCGATGGTGAAACTCAGTAGAGTAATTACGGTTACTAAAACGTTTCACTGGTATTTTCTAGGACTGTGTTTATTGCTGATAGCTCGGACTCAGGGTAAGTTTGTCTCTGTTTCTTTCTAATATATTTGCAGTGGAGTGTCGGGAAAATCTTCCCTCAGGGGCAGATGACTGTTTTAGTTATTTGTAGTGACGTTAAAAATGACGGTGAACATTTCCAACACACATACACGGAATGATGTTTTGACGTGGATCACTTTTTCTTTAAGGGAACAAAATATCTTTATTCCCACGCTGAATTGGTTATTGATGCTCATTAAACCTTGCTATAATTTTAAAGCTAACTAATGTCTTTGAGAAGTAAACATACATGCATATAAAGGTTTGTCTGTTTTTCAGTATTTTATTAACGATTGTGAACGTAACTACCCTAGGAATAACGAAAGTTACTGCATTCATCTCGGGGATTATGAGGATAATTATCTTTGTATTTGAATTTGATCGGTCAGCTCAATCACTCAAGAAAAAGATGAAGGGTAAATGAATCTGTAAGCTGAATTCTGATTGGTTGAACATTGGGAATGGAATGTATTTTCTGTAAGCTGATTTCTGATTGGTTGAACATTGGGAAATGTAATGTATTTTCTGCAAGCTGATTTCTGATTAGTTGAACACTGGGAAATGGAATGTATTTTCTGTAAGCTGATTTCTGATTGGTTGAACATTGGGAAATGGAATGTATTTTCTGTAAGCTGATTTCTGATTGGTTGAACATCGGGAAATGGAATGTATTTTCTGTAAGCTGATTTCTGATTGGTTGAACATTGGGAAATGTAATGTATTTTCTGTAAGCTGATTTCTGATTGGTTGAACATTGGGAAATATATATATATAGGATCTCAAAGTCATAGCAAAATATATATATATATAAAAAGGCAGAATAATCAATGATGCCCTGCTTTAGTGAGTCAGTAAAGCCACTGGAGGGCGCACTATACATAATTATATATTATTGGCTACTTTGTTGTTGTTTGTTATTGAGCACAAAGATACAGGTGCTCTGTCCACCACGGGTATTAAACCCGGTTTCTAGCCGTATAAGTCCGCAGACATACCACTGTGCCGACCGGGGGGGGGGGGGTAGCTACTTTGAGTTTCGAACCCTTGATTTGGTTTGTTTGCTGTTAAGCATAAAGCTACACAATGGGCTGCCTGTGCTCTGCTCAACACGCGTATAGAAATCACATGTTTAGCGTTGTAAACATGCAGCTGAGCCACCGGGGGCGGCGGTGGGGGTATTGTGTGTGTTTCGAATCTTTAAACACCTTTCTAGAAAATGCACGTCATATTTATGGGGTTTTAAGCTGTCTTTTAGTTAGTTGTTTTTATATTGATATTTATTTTTAGAAAATATAAGGCATAGTTGATAATTCGTCTCCTCCTTGTTTGTTTTGGGTTTGAAAGATCACATTGCTAAAAAACCGGTTAAGTTGGTTTAGTCTTTCTTTAACGGAACCACGTGACAAACAACAACAACCTCAGTCTTGGTTTTACTGAGGATAAAAACACTCTTAATCGTGGTTTTACTGAGGATAAAAACATTCTAATCGTGGTTTTACTGAGGATAAAAACACTCTAATCGTGGTTTTACTGAGGATAAAAACACTCTAATCGTGGTTTTACTGAAGACTAATCTTCAGATGCATTGTGGGATTTATTTAGTATTTAGTTCAACTGAAATTCTATATTTTTAACCAAACGTTCTTCAGACATTATTTTTAGCTGCGGCTCACTCATAGAACGGTTCTGAGTTTTGGGTTTTTTTTTTCAACTTTTAACTCATAGCTCCGTCATCTCATGACCGATTTGAGATCTAATTACCGTTTTAGACTCAGGAGGTCAAACCTTTTCGATTGATGTATTTGACCACGCCCAAGGTCTCATAAATTAATTTATTCTAATCCTGTCTATAATAAATTGAATTTGAGGGTATGCCGGTAGAGATCCTGATGAGTAATAAAATTAAATCAGGTATACGCTCGTCCCACGCTTCTTATTGCTGGGGCACAAAAATATAGCCATGAAAAAAGGGTCTCATAGATTAATTTACTCTAATCCTGCCTAAAAGAATTGCTATTGAGAATTCCCTCTCGTTTACTATTACAGGTATTTTTTCGCGCTAATACATATTATAATTCTTACACCAGCCCATTGTTACAAATAATAATTGTTTTATGGTAAGCCCACAGACTTATAACGCCAGAAACCAGGTTTCGATACCCGTAGCGGGAACAGTACAGATAGCCCATTGTGTAGCTCTGCGCTTGGGAACAAACAAACAGTTTTTTTTTATATAGCATCAATATTAGTTTTGCAGATGCGAAGCTTCTTTGAAGGTTATAACTTAGATCACGCTATCTGGAATTGTTTAAAGTATTTATCTGTGATCATAAATTATTATGTAAAACTTTTTAATGATTCGAAACAGGAATACTGACTCAGGTTGCGACGTCATGGTCCTCTTGTTCTTTACTGTCAATTGGTATAAAAGTTCGTTTGTTGTTCGCAGACTTAGTTATCTGTGCCGTGGTATGGGACATGTCGAGTCCGTCATTTGTTTGTTTTGCTTTGGAGCAAAGCCACATTGGGCTATCTTCTGTGTCCACCGCGGAGAACTGAACCCCGGATTCTAGTCTATAGTCTTACTGCCATCCCGTGGGACCCACCGTTAGATGTCGTTTTGCTTGTATAAAACAAACTTTACTTTGGAAATTTGAGGATACATCTAGAACGATCTAGATCATTAACGCAAACTCTCGCTGAGAGCTTACCAGAAACCTTCACCTGAAATAATGTTCAGCAGGTTTCTTTGCTATTGCAGTTGGTAATTTATTTTCTTGTATTATTGTGTGTTTTATGTAGTTAGTTTAGAGGTGTATTATTATTCATGTTTTTAATGTTTATCTTGAAAAACATAAAACGAAGAGATATTAATATGGTAACCTCCATTCTAAAACAGGACAGATTATTAGAAATTACCAAACAAGGAATTTTCAGTTCCAATCCGAACCTCGAAGGTCTTGTCGCCTGGACAACGGTCAACGTGGAAGATGCGTTGCCATTAACGACTGTCCTTCTGCTCTGGTACAGCTCAGAAACGGCGTGTTTCCCGAAGTATGCTACTGGACAAAAGTAGTGCCAGTTGTTTGTTGTTCTCAGGGGAACGTTCATAATTCTCGACAGCCCCATCCAACCCCTGGAAAAGCCGGTAATAGATTGGAAAGGATTCGACCAGCAGGTGAGGTATAAGTTATTATCTCTGTAATACTATAACATGTTTATTTCAAACAAATTTTCTTTGTACTTATGTACTCAACGGTGGGACAGTGGTAAGTCTTCGGATTTAAAATACTAAAATCACGGTTCGATTCCTCTCAGACACAGCAGAAAGCCCGATGTGGCTTCGTTCTAAGAAAACAAGATAAACAGACAGACTCATTAATGGAATTGATAAGTAAGACCTGGTTCACGAGGTTTTCAATATTTACAATAGTGTATTAAGAAGGTATGTTGCTGTATTATTGTGTTATCTGATGATTTCTTTCTTCGCTATACAGTTGTTATCTTAGATCATCATAGAACAGTAATTGTGTTTTATACGTGTACTTCCCAGAATAAATTCCCTGATTTGTTGCCATCGTAACACAAATTATCATCTACTTATTCTGGTAATTATTTTGATGCCAAGGCTAAGGAATTACAATCAGGTTCTTTGTTGTTATTTTTTGTATACAGGCAGAATTTTATACGAAACTCTGAAACAGGGAAATTTATGTTTGTTTTTTGAATTTTGCGCAAAGCTA